AAATCGTTATAGGTTCGCTTTTAAAAAACTCTCCTGATACGTTTCAGTAGCTAAGCGTCTCTCTACATTCCTCTGATTGTTTTTCACTTTGGAAGGTGATTAGAAGAGCCTGTTTCTCACACTAAGCTTCTCAATGACTCACTGATTTTTAAAAGTATGCTTCAAATTGGCTGTGGTTGGGGTTTTAGGAGCATATTTGGAATTTTAAGTTTTCAAGTGTGTCTACTAAAGAGGTGTGCGATTGTGTGTCTTGTTGTAGTTTTGGTTCATTCACAAACCCCCCTCGCCGATGTCCTTTGTGGTTCGCGGACGAGGCATGGTGGGTGCTGTGCCCGGAGCCTCGGCTGCACCGCATCTGGTCTCCTCAAACAAACTTCGGTTGGCCTCCAACGGTGAGATCGACTTGGCGGACGTCAATCTCGCCGACATGGATCCCGAAGTTATTCGGGTACGCTGCCACCCCGTCTATTCGTACACCAACTTGTTTATTATTCTACGCCTGTCGAATCAACTGCGTGATCCCCCTCCACGCCATTTTTTCTTTTCGGTTTTGGTTTTTTTCGAGTTCCGCTGTCTAAGTTCTTCTCCTAGGGAAGCGGGCCTGGAATATCGTAGTGACCAGAGTTAACCTTATTAACCTTAACAATCCTCGATACGTCTGCCGTCACTATGAACTAATTCTCGCCTAAGTCACTCTTAAACTTGTGCCATTGTTTTCCTTTCGTTGCTTGCAGGTTTTTACTTCAGTTGTTCGTGTTTTTTTAGCGCGAACTGAAACGTCTCTACACCGCAATTGAAATCTACAAGACAAAGGCTATGCGCCGGGACAATCCCCACATTAGTAAACGACGTGGCGGCCGGAAGCAAAGGCGGTAAGTTTACTGCGCTGTTCACCAGTTACTTACTCCCACTTAGTCTTGCAGAACATTTATAACCGAAAGTGACGAAATCTCAACCAAATCCTTACTTTGAAGTTAAAACTGTTACATACTTGATGCATGAAGCAGGGTTGAGCCTTATCTCATATGTATCAAGATGCCGACCGTTTAAGGTCACCCTTTATAGTCAGATCTTGCATCTGCTGCTTGCTAGCTAACGCATGTAGCATTTTGAACTTCTTAACAGATTGCTCTGAAATGCCTTTTTGGGTAAAATTTCATTATGGGAAGCCCGATAGAATGGTATACTCTCTAGCTACTGAGCGGATATCAGATCCTCCTTGCAAGAGATGAAAGGTGCGTACTCTT